AAATATTTTCTCTCATACCTTTGCCGTACCAAAACTTTCGGTATACAAAATTTATATACCGTTACCTTACTGAAGTTTTGGTATACCGCATTCTGGTATACCGAAGTTTCGGTTCGGTAACGGTACGGTATCGGTAAATTACCATGCATGCCTCTCAATACAACAAATTATCATAAACTAATGAAATATACTAAATCGTTGTGACTAGCGACATATTTAATCTATTATTAACATGTTACAAAATATAATTAATAATCTATTGATGTCAATTAGACAAAAATAATCTATTGATGTTCAATTTAGTATTGAACAATAATTATTATTAGTATATTTAAGTAGTTTAATCTTCCAAAAAAAGTAGTCCAACATGTCACGTATTAAAAAATAAGTAGTAAAACATTCTCCTAAAATAACTTCAACAATATAGATATAATTAAATCAATAGTGATCTCTAACAAAAATAAATAAAATTATTCAAACAATATGGATATGAAATCATTGATTCCTAATATGATAGTGTATTTACTCATTTTTATAATTTTAAAAAATATTTGAATAAGACTTTCAGATAAAGTTGTGTGTCTTGACTCTCAGAATCCTTATGTAGATGCATTCGTCACATAGTTATCCCTCTTCACTCATCAACTACTCAGCGTTTCAGCCATCGCGACTCGCAAATTCTGGGAACAAGATGAACTTGTTTCTGAACATTAATACATTACTTATTAGTCATTAGGGTTAGTTTGAATTTTATGTTGTAGAAGCCTAGAAGGTTATAGTGTCTTTGGAAAATTGGGCCTTTATTTTTGTATTTTGATATTTGTAACCAACCTAAGTATTATTTGGGCTTTAAAATTGTAATGGATTTTTTACAATATTTTAGTATTAAAAGTAATTGTTGGGTAGAGAGTCGGTACGGTATTATACCGGTTTATCGCGGTATTTGAAAACATTTACTGTTACCGTACCGAAATAAATTGGTACGGTATCATACCGTACCGAAAATGACGGTATACCAATATTCCGGTATTTTCCGGTATTTTTCGGTACGGTAAGTGCGGTATACCGATTTTTCGGTATTTTTGCCCACCCCTAGTCACGGATACATGTCCGTGACTAATACAAATTTTGAAAATGTAAACCGCGGGCTTTAAAAAATTCGAAAATTTCAAAACTTAGTCACGGATTAGTCCGTGACTAAAATGGCCGAATTTTAAAAACAAAAAAAATCTTAGTCACGAATCGGTCCGTGACTAAAATAAAAAATAAATTAATTAAAGGTAGTCACGGACCTGGTCCGTGACTACCGTGCCGGAGTAGCAATTCCGGTCAAGAATTAGTCACGGACCAGGTCCGTGACTAATCCATGACTACACTTAGTCACGGCCAAATTTCAGTGACTACATTGTAGTCACGCGGAATTAGTCATGGCCGTAGTCACGGACAAAATCCGTGACTAACAAAGTTAGTCACGGATTTTTTGCACTGCGGTCCGTGACTAAGTCCGTGACTACAGACGATTTTTTTTGTAGTGTAATGAGTAGCAACTTTTTTTTTCCAACTAATTTAATTCATTAATTGTAATAATTATTCTACTCACTTAAACTTCATGTCACTCACCTATTGTTCTCACTTTTTCAGAATAGTAATTAATTTTAAATTTAATTTAATCATGAAAATTTATAAATAGTAAGTTCTAATGAATGGTGTCAATTGATTTTTCCTAATATACTCTTCATTGAATATGTATTTAATGAGCTTATACTTTATGGTATTAGCTTATTGTACTCTTATTTTTCAAAAATGATGAATTCTACAAAGTACTTTTATTTTAATATTTAATTAAATCGTATGTAAAAAATATGCATCAAATGCTTTTTCTCGTGTGTATCCACGGGTACTATACTAGTATACAATAAATTAGCATTACATTTTACACCAGTTTGAACAAACAATTTGGTGGGTTGACATATTACAAAAATGATAAATTAATACCTTAGCCATCTGAATTGAGCCTAGACATTCAATTATTTTTAAATCCTGATCTTCTATCATAATGCTTTCAAATCAAAACATTAACCAACAAAACTAAAAAATGATTGTGATTCTAAATAATCCTTGAAAACTGTCTTTGAATTTCATGGTGGTATTTTTCATCTTCAAAATAGTAAGTATTAGTAAATAGTAACTATGGTTTATTATAAAAATATAAAGTATGGATTAATACAGTAAAATGAAAAACTGGTAACTCACAAAGAATAAAAATATAAAGTATGGATTAATCGAAACCCACCACGTATATAACATTTATAAGTGAAATCAAAAAGTAATACCTTCGGCTTCTTTACAACCACGTTATTGTGAAATCGAAAAGTAATACCTTGGCTTTGTAGCGGCCTTTTTTGCCTTCGACGCTGAAGCTTTAAGCGGAGAAGAAGAGAATGAGCAGAAAAATAGGAAGAAACGGCAGCCTTTAGCTGTAATTTGAAGATTTTCTTTGGTCGTCGACGCTGGACTGCTGAATTTTTATGCGGAGAAGAGGAGTGGGGAGAAATAGAAAGCAGCGGTCAAGAACAGTAGAAATAAAGTTTTGAAGGCAGATGGAAAGACGTGACTAATAAGTGAAAAATACGGAGTAAGTTAAATAAATCGTGTGAGATCTATTCGAGATGAATGGATGAGATTGATTTGTATCACTATTAAGCATAAGGATCGATGAATCTTGAAGTGCCATAATTTTTATACTCCCTACTAAAGTTATTGTATCATGACACTGATTATTATTTTTTGTCTAGATGACAAAGTCAAAGTTGTAGTGTAATTATCTCTATATTTTGCTGTTAATATGAATATGTATTGCTATTGCTTGTATTTGGATCTCGTCGGACTTTGGTAGTGAGCTCGCCGGAAGAGGATGCCGTCACGACGGAGATATGGAATGAACTCGCCGGAGGTGGCTGTCACACCGGAGATGAAGAGCTGTCTCGCCAGAGGCGGCTGTCTTGCTGGAGATCTGGAGTGGTCTCGCTGGAGGCGACGCCAAAGGAAGAATCACTAGAGGAAGCGCATCCGGATGAAATCACGCCATAGAAGATAGATGGCGGCAAATGCCGTGCTGTCACTGTGTTAGTGGCGGTCACGGTGGCGTCGGGGGTGGCTTCAGAGGACACGGCGGCATTGACATGGCAGCGACTGTGTGCTTTCACTGTCCTTCAGACACGTGAGACATTGATTTTTAAATCATTAGGGAGCATATTTTATTAATAATCCTGAAATGTTTCATTAGGGTAGTCTGGCCATGTCAAACCTTTTTTACTCCTACCAAACATTAAACTCTTATTGTTGCATCAATCTATTGTCTTACACATATTTAGGTAATCCCCCCAAAACCTTTTGAAATATGACATTTAGTGTGGAAGTATTCACGTGATCAATGCCTCTGTCTTATCACTATTACTATTATTATTACTATGACCATGACTATGACTATGACTATGATTATCACTATCACTATCACGATCATGATCACTACCACGATCACGATCACGATCACGGTCACGATCACTATCACTATCACTACCACTACCACTACCACTACCACTATCACTATCACTATCACTATCACTATCACGATCAACTATTACGATCACCATCACCATCACGATCACCATCACCATCACCATACCATTATTAATAACAGTAATAATAATACTATAGTCTTCTAATACTCTTGCTGATTCAAGAAAGGAAAACTAGAAGATCATATCTCGCAGGAGGAGATGATTGTCTAGGTTTTCACCTAAGGCCACCTAGCGCATGAGTTTTAAGGAATATTAGGTTGTCCGCATTGCTAGGGGTGGAAACCCAAATTTGAGGTTTTCACCCCAAATTGAGCTGCAATCCAAATCAAAATCAGTATAGGAGGGTCTTGTAGTGGGTTGGAGGAACCCTTATAGTAGGGATTTAGATGTTGGATCGATCCTGAGAGAGAGAGAGAGAGAGAGCTAAGATTGGTGGGCGCACCGTAGAAAAAAAATTGAGCTCCATGAAAACTAAAAACCCCAAATCTTTGTAAAATGGTACTATGTATAACGTTTTTTATTAATGATCCGATTTTTATGAATAATATATCAAAATTCATAATTTTTTATGATCTTTCATATGACACCAAAATCACACATATAAAGTTAAAAAATATATATGAAGCTTCATTTGATGGAGATCTTTAGTTTTAAATTTATTCTTAAGTAGATCCAAATGTTAAAATCAATCTCTCACGAAGAATTTTCTTACATCTTTTGGTTATGTTTTTCAAACATAGGTCTGAAATAACAAAAAAATAATAATCTAAATTTATTTATTTTTACATCGAAATGTTTGACTATTTAAATAATAATTATCACACAATAAAATTGTCACATAACGATGTGTATTAAAAAATGTAAGGATTTCTGCATTTAGCAAGGATTTGAGTCAATATATTGATGGCGCCGGGTAGTAGGGAAAATCTAGATTGATTGGATGAATATGTATAAAATGGTGGGGGATTAAATTTAGCCTGAGTTGCGATTAACCTTAGAACACATTCGTACCAAAACTTACAAATTAGCCCAATAATACTCTATATATTCAATTGAGACTCATCTATGAAAAATCATTTCTAAAACAACTAATTGGCGGACAAGTAAAGAAGTGTCTTTCCACGTATGAATCTAGAAAAAATGGCAAGAATAATACTCCCTCCGCCCCTTATAACTTTGTCATCTTTCTTTTTTTGGATATCCCAAAAACTTTGTCATTTTCTCTTTTAATCAATGAATTTGTGGTTACTGCCATTTCTCTCCTCTGCACATATCTCAATCACACATTTTTTACTTTATTATTTTCCGTGCCGATCAAACATGCCAAATTATTGAGGGACGGAGGGATACTAATCAACTTTTGTTTGACATAAATGTGACTAAAATTGATCTGGACAAAAAAGTCACTTTCAAGCTTCGACACTTCCGTTCTCGCATCCCACATCAAATATCAAAAGCCCAAAAGCAGCCTAACCCTAAATTAGAGTCTGGCATTTCATCTCATCCCCAACCATGGAGCTCGTGAGTGTGCGAGTGGAGCTCAGGCGATGTCGCGTCGCTGCCACCACCGTCCACCGCTGTGAGAGTCGTTGACACCAACACACCTCTTCTCCGAGGTCATCACATATGCTGTCTTGGTGGCGGCGGCGGAACTCAGGTTGTCGTCTCTTTCAAACCGCCGTCGTCGCCCTCTCCCCCTAAAACTCAATCGCAACAAATATCTAAATCCAGATCTGTTGAATCATCGTTTACGACCACATATGTCATCGTCGTCGGCCTCATTCATCGTCTTCTTCGATGGAGCTGATGTTGCAGGTCATGGCTAGGGTTGCTGCGTTAGAGTGGGGCTGGAAGGATGAGGTGGCACGCTCGAGAGGGGGTACAGACATGAGGCAGGGGCAAGAGCAAGGGAGGGGCATCTGGCTGGGGCTGGAAATAGTGGCTGGCAGGGAAGGTGAGAGTTGCAAGATAGGGGAGTCAGGGGAGTGGAGAGAGGGCCTGCGGGGGGGGGGGGGGTTGAGAAGGGGGTTTGGAGACGGGGAGGGTAGGATGGGAGTTGTAACTGCAGTGGTTAGCGATTGTGCAGGGCTGGATGTGGTGGGGATCGGGCAGACTGAGGCTTGGGTTGGGGTGCGGTGGTTCAATGGACGGGCGAACAGAGCCAATCACTGGCCGGGGGAAGGGGGTGACAGTCACGGGACGGGGGTGGCACTCACTCGTCGACGGTGCCGGTGACAGAGGCGGCGGTGTCAGTGACGGCGACGATGCTGAGATCGGCGTTAAAATAATAAATGTATGAATAAATATAAGGAATAAATGACTTTTAGTCACTATTTTAGAAAAAATTAAAATAAGTCACATTTTTATCTTTTTCCTTCATTTTAGTAATATTGGAATAAAAAAGCCATGAATCTAAACACATTTCATTTAAAAAATTATATTATATGAATAATATGTCACGATTTGCCATATACCCTCTCCGATCCTTAATTAACTTTACACTTTTCTTTTTGAGCCGTCCCATATTAAACTTTACACTTCTTTATGTGCCTTATTTGACAAACAAATCTACATCAAACAGTGTACTTTACAGTAAAGTCAAATTTATTTCCTTAATATGTGTGAAGTCAAAGTATAAACTTAATTAAGGATCGGGGGAGTATGACACATTTATGCAAAAAGTTGATATGCTTATTTTATTAATAGTAATATATGTCTACAATCATGCATCATCTTTTATATCTAATTAATTTTAATTAGATATTAAGGATAACACATGATTGCAGACATGTTACTTTTGTAATATGACAAGTACATCAACTAATCACTATCTAAATTAATTAGATTTATGAACATTACGTTTCCAAGTGAACTTAACAAATCCTCTGAAACCGAAGATGCAGTCGGTGTGGGTAATACATTTAAGATTCATTTCTTCCATCCCTCGAGCTTCTCTCTCGTCTTCAATGAAGTGGCAGGCCTGAATAGAGGTGTTTTTTGCTTCTTTGAGCCATGGATACCCTTGTCTTCCATTTATTAGCTGGGCCAACAGATGCATGGGGCAGTTTGGCAAATCCAACACACATGTCAATCATGACAGAACAGTTCATTAGTTTACTTGTGCATTTATCACAACTGAGAATACAAAAATTGACCCCTAAAGGAATTGCACAAGCACATGAACTAATGTTATTTCCATTTAGAGAAGTTAGGAGATGCATGAATAATAGAATATAGGACCTTGCTGCTCCCTCATAATAAACTTTTGATTTACTTGCATGGTTTTCAATAAGGTGGTAGCAGTGTGGTTGAAATTTGTTTAGGGAAGGATGAAAAAAGAATGAAGATAAATATGGGGCAGAGGGTACTAAAATTATAAGCTGGTTGGATAAAAATGATGAAAAAACTAAGAATTGTTGAGGCAAGATGCAAAATTTGAAGACAGCACATAGCTGAAGCCTGTAAAATAATGCTTGAGGTGGTAGTTTCATCTTGGGGTAGAAACTGTGAAGTATTAAAGTTGCAGAATACTTCATGCTTGAAGTATTATTTTTCAGTTAAAGCTCCCTTGTTGCACACAATTTACAGTACATACATAGATGCAAACCTGGGTTAGAAATTGGAATTATATGGAAAGTGATCAGTTCCAAGCATCTACATTACCTGTTTCCGTGTAATAATCAGTACTTGTGAGGTCTTGTGAAAAATGCACCGACTCTCATGCCAAAGGAAAAGTTTATAGACACGTTGAATACAATTTGTTAATGCTCCAGTCTCCAGAGTCCAGATATACATACATAGAAGTTTAATACACATCTGAAAAATTAACTATCAGAATTTCAGTAAATATATGAAAAAAAAATCAGATTTTTAATGTATATCTGAAAAAATAACTATCAAGTTTTAAAAATTCAATACACATCTGAATCATTTTAGGCTCTTAATTACTTTGTGTGTGTGTTTATTTCAATACCCTGGACAAATACAGAAAAAGTGTAGAATATGGAATTAAATGAACTAAAATTCGTACATTTAATTAATTTTTATTTAAGGCCAATTCACCTACTTATAGAACAAATTTACCATCACATGGTGATTACTAGATTTAATTTAGAGTAATCAGAACTGATATGCGTCTTCTTGGGTTACATGAGAGTATGACTTTGGAGAGAGCAAAGTGGAGGGCACACATCCATGTGGACGATTGATGTCTTGTCTACCTTTCCTCTCTTGTTTCTTTTATCATTTATCTTCCTTATCTTTTTATATTCTTATGTTATTTTTATCTTTTAGCCTTTTTATGCTCTTTTATTTATTTTTCTTTTATCTTGGTTATATTCTTGTGTTATTGTTATCTTATATTTATGTATCTTTATTTTATTCATTTTATCTTACTTTTTTTTTCCTTTTCTTGTCCGCCTTCTCTTTTTGGCATCGATATCATAGATCGATTCATGTTAGCCGACCCCAAATTCTTTTGGGATTAAGGCTTGGATGTTGTTGTTGTACGGTGATTACTAGATTTAAATTTGTAATTAGAATGTTTTTTAAAACCCGCATCTGAGTCAAATTCTACTGAAGTATGCAATTCAAATAGTCTATGAGCCCGTTTGGTGACCCCTTTTTTCGGCTTATCAGGCTTATCAGCCAGTGTTTTCACCAAACACTTAACTTTTGATTTCGCGCGTTGAATTTTGTAATAAGCTGAAAAAGTAAGGTTAGAGTTACGTTTATGGCTGTATTGGCTGAAGTTACTGTAGAGGATCATTTTTTCTATTTTTTCATATAATTTTTTGTTTAATTTATTAATAACAAATATTTTAAACATAAATTTTTTATAAATCAGCAAAATCAGCCAATACAGCCACTTCAGCCAGAACATCATAAATTTCAGCAGAATCAGCCAATTCAGCCAATTTTAATGTTACCAAACGGGCTCTATATATGTTATCACACACTTTTTTTTGAACGGAAAAAACTATATTCAAACAATCGTCCGTCAACGGGCTTGAAATACAAGACAGACTATCATCAAAAGTATCACTACACGCATTGAATAAAGCGGTCCTAGCCGCTTATGGATCCCACGATTCGCGGATCGTTTACAGAACTGGACAACTAACCTAGTTTCCTTTTGAAAAATGTGTCTAATATAATCAATTATAGGATCTAAATAAGTGATGGATAGTGTACTCGGGGGGTAGCTTATCCGAGGGGTTACTGCGGGGAGTAACTTAGAGAGAAGTCAGAGCAAATAAGTAAGAGAGATAAAGAGTTCAAGTGTGTATTCGAGTTGTATTGAGCGTGGTTTACAAATGGGGAAATGGGTGCTATTTATAGCAGCAATAAATGCTAGATAGGGACACGTGTCAACAATCTGGTGGTCGAGGGATCACCTCAACCGGGGTGGCATTGGCATTCGCATATGGCCGCATTAAATGCGGTGGTTGGATGTGACGTTTGTACTTGGTACGTTGATCCAGCGCATTTGGACGGGAGATCCTGTCGAATGGGATGCCTTCGGCTGTAGATGACAGGCCGAAGGTTCTTCGTGCCGAGGGCCCATATTGCCGAGGGTTCCTAGTGTCGAAGGCTTGGTTTTTAAGCCTTGTTCTCCTGCGATGTTTCTGAGCCCTATTCTGTCGTTAGTGGCCTTCGGCAATGGGGCCAAAGGCACCCCCTCATGCCTCGTGGGCTGCCTATGCTTCATTATGCTGGGCTTGGCCCGTCTTGGGCCTGTTGGGCCTGAATGTAAAAGTGGAAGTATGTGGGCCGGGGGGTTCCTGGGCCATATACTCCATCAGGAGTCCCTCACTCCTTTTGCCGAAAGGTTCTTAAGGGAAAAGGAGTAATTGTGTTTGTCTTCTGATGCTGCCTTGCTGTAGTTTGTAAAAGTGGCGAGGAGTTTTGCGCCTGAGTGTTTTCCGAGGGCAGTCCCTCAGTCCCCCACATTTTGGGGCCGAAGAAAAATTTTATATTCGTAATTTTGTGAATTTCCCGAAGGGGTCCTCCAGTCCCCCACTCCTTGAGGTACATGTAATGTGGTGAAGAGGAGTAGAGGGGTGCCTCCTTTCATCACGAGCCCGAAGGTTTGTGCTTTTCGTTTCATTTTGGGGGGATGCCTCGTTAAAAACCTCATTAGGAAAAACCCTTTGGGAAAATATCCTAATGAGGAAAAAAGAGTGCACCGAGTTCCCCCAATGATGAATAAAAAAGGTGAGCTCTTGGTTTGAGGTGAAGAGCAATGTTGCCGCCGAGAGCTATTCGTGATCTGAGGGTTTGGCCGCTGATTTTGCCGAAGGCTGATTGTTGATATATCGGAGGTTTTGAGGGGAGTGTCTGCTGAGAGCACTCCTCCGAAGGCGCCCGTAGTTTGAGTGAGCATCCCGGGGACTGCCGAGGGTAGTCCCCCAGCCATGAGGCTGAGGGTGTGATCTCTGTTGATGAACGCCGATGAATGTCCCTGTGTGCCGGAGGCTAACCACAGATGAGAGGTTACCTGGTTTTCAACATGCTGAGGGCTGGGGCCCCCGAGGGGTTTACCCATTGCTAAGCCGGGGGCTCCTCCTGATGAAGGATTCTGAAGGAGAAAGCCCGAAGGCATGAATGGTGTTATCTGAGGAGTGCCAGATTATGGAACTTAGTCCGCGAAAGAGAGCCGTGACAGCTGGAATATGACCGTTGTGATATAGCCGTTGGAGGTGATGTCCACGTGGTGTGTACCCGTTGGCTGACTGTGGGCGGGTGTCACTGGTTGGCGGAGGAGGCGGTGTGTAATGATGATTTGTGTAATCGGGGGCCCAATTCTTGGCCCAAGCCCGGATTGGGGAGGCTATAAATACCCCAAGGCCTGAGCCCTACCCCTTGCGCGATTCATTGTTTTAGCGAAGCTCTGCCAAAAATTTTCTAGAGAGAAAGTGTCCAGCTCGATCGAATCCAAGTTCCTGAGGTCAGTTCTTCTTCCGTTTTCACACTCCTCGCATAATTTGCTTAGCCAGCCTTAGATCTAGTTTTTAGCGATTCTTAGGAAAATTGTCTTCCCTCGAATCCTTCGACTCGTCAGGAATGTCGTCGCAAAGTGACTCTCAGGACATCTCGAGGGAACCCTCGGCTGAGGAGGAATGTATTTCCCACGTGGAGTCCTCGAGCGAGCAGCCTTCGGCGGGTGATGCTGTTGCTGTGGCTCTGGAGGTGCAGAAAGATCTTGTGGCAGAGGCCGAGGTGGAGGAGTTTGAACAAGTGATTGAAGACGAGGAGATGGCCCTCGCCCTGCAGACGGCCCAGGAGGAGGAGGAGAAAGAAAGGCAGAAGGTCACCGTCGCCATCCTCCCCGCACGCAATACTGGAGAAGCCAGCACCTCTCGGCCTTTAGACCCGACGCCTATCAGCGTAGCTCCCGGGAAGAAAAACAAGAAGAAGGCGAGAGCTCCCAAAAAGAAGGGTAGTGTCGCCGACCAAGGAAAACCCC